ATTGAACTTGACGTAATTTTTGAAATTGGCATATTTATTGAAACTTAACAAACACGAAGATATTTCTTGAGAATTGGACAAAAGCTTTGTGTTACTTGAGAGTAATGACAGAAGACTCGATTATCTGGTTTGATGATAATTACTAGCTCATTATAAAAAGATTCGATCTGTTTAAAATTGAAATCTTCCGTAATTGGATGTTGCTTAAATTCCCATTCAAACTCTCCTGTTAATAAATCTGGCATAGATCCACAAAAATAGAAGAAGGTTTGAGTCTTCTTGATAACTTGTCCGTTTTCTTTTGATGTAAAAGGAGCGTCCCAAGTCAAACAATCTTGATGAGAGAACAGTTTGTTCAATAATTCCTTTGTACAAGATCCTAGAAAATTCCACGTTCCGAACTTGCTGAAATTTGGTTGCAATCTTGTGTGCAAAATGTTTGCAGCCTCCATTGTAAATTCTTTTAGTCTTCTGTTTTGATAGTAGAGTTCCAATATATCTTGATCATAAGTGGCAATAACAGATCTCCAATCAACACCACCAAATTGACAAGGTGTAGGCTTGGTTGCTTTCTTTGGAATGTTGATGAGTGTGTTCTTGCTTGTTTTCTTGGTGGTAGTGCTCTAATTGTATTATTTAATTCAATTCAATTATAATACATATATAATAATAATAAATAAAAAACTTACCTTTCTTTTCTTGGCAACCTTCTTCTCGATTGAGTCAAAGATCTTCTCTACCTTTGGCTTGCTTTTTGACGTAAAGCAATCATTGGTATAAGTAACGAAATCTATTAATTTATTTGCTGATTTAGTCATATTTAAAAGTAAAAGTTGTGTTGTTTTTTTGTTGTTGGATCTCTATAGAGTGATCAAAGGATGAGATAGTATCATGTTGTTGTTTGATCATTTTTTTTTAATTGTTGAATCACGGACGCTGGCCGGAGACGTTTTCTCAAGAATTTTTACCAGTGTCGTTGTATTGATTCTTGCAGTTGTGCGGGTTAGTAATCATTGTAATAACAAATTTGAGGAATCTTTTGGAATCTTTTACTACAGTCGACTCTCACTACAAATATTTCACACTACTGTTCATTGTATTTTTGAGAATCTTTCGAATATGTCATTGTTCGTTAAAGAAATCATTGCAGTTAGTGGTTTTACAAATTCCAAACCGTGTCCGTTCTAAAATAATGGTGGGAACAGTTTAATTCTTCATTGTTTCCATTAGTGTGGTTGTATCGAATAGATATACTTCATTAAATGTTCAACCAAATGAACCCAATGTTCAAGTTTCGAATAAGAGAAGAGATAAGCACAGTTCTGTTCACTTCCCAAATAATATGACTTGACGCTTTCGCTCGTGTCTTTCCATCAAGAACCTTAAGGTTGCAAATTTGTTGACGAAATTGACGAGATTTCATTTTTCTAATTTTGTTTTGAAATTTTTTACAAAATTAATAGTCCGTTCGTTCGATCGAATAATTGGACGTTCAGTGATGAGTCAGCAGTTGTTGATTGTATAGAAGATTTTTGATTCAATTACAATGTGACAGAGATATTGATTCTCATTTTGATTTTTCATGTTTCATTGTAAACAATTTCAAATAGAGATGTGTTGTAAACGAAAGGGGTTTGTGAGATAAATGAACTATTTCACAAGTTCATTTATTGATTTCTGTTTCAAATTGGAAATGAAACTTTATGGTTAGTTTCGTTTGTATGTTTGATTCATGAAAAGAGAGATAGTTTTCTTTGAGATATTGTAGTTCATTAAATTGTTCAAGATGTTCCAAACTATCTCTCTTCTATTTTCTTCAAGATTCGAATAATGTTAGTTCACCATTCAATAAGGTTCATAACTTCCATAATTTCATCAATAAAGAAAATTGTAAAAAATTGTAATCTTTTCATCCATTACACAAGTTCATTTCTTCCATTAGTTCATTAGCTTTTGTACAAAATTCTAAGTCTTTTCAACCATTAATTTATTCATCTGATATCAGTATCCCAATGTCACATAATTGATTATTCTTGAGTTTTTGGAAAATCTTCTCTACAAAGAAGAATTCTCCAGCAAATCGATACCTCACATGAATGATGGAATCAGCTGAAACATCCTCCTCAGTTTTTCCTCCATAAAAATACAAGCCACTTCCAGTTGCATCATGCACCAGTGAGGAGCACAATAACCTTCCTGCAGCAACTCCTAATTGAATGCAAACACTCCACTCATTCCTTTTCAAATCGAAAACATAGCAATCATTTTTAGGTATTCTATTGCTCTGTTCACAACCTCCCAAGCTTAATAAAAAACGTTGATCTATCAAACAAATAGTATTGCCATAAATTGGCTGAGGTACTGGGCATATCTTTGTTTCCTCAAATTTCACAACGGTCCAAGAATTTGTTTTGAAATGGAAGATGACCAAATCACATGTTAAAACAGGTACATCAATGTTCAGCTCACCAGCATAAATGACCATAGAATCGTTGA